TGTCACCTGGGATTGCAACATCAACGATCCATACTTTTTTTTAACACGATCGTGAGGTCAGGAGTATTGTGCTCCAAAACTCTGCCTGTCTGATGATGATGATGATGATGATGATGATGATGATGATTATTATTATTATTATTATCATTATTATTATTACTACTACCCCTGCAGGCTGGGTCATAACGGAAAGGGCCACTCTATTGAATATGTTTGAATGGGTCTTATCTGTGCATTTTAAAATATTGTTTACTAGCTGTTCCCACCATGCATTGCTGTGGCCAACCTCCCCTCCACCTTTCTTTCTCTCCTTCCTTTCCTCCCTCTTTCCTTCCATCCTTTTTTTCCTTTCTTTCTCTCCTTCCTTCTTTCTCTTCCTTTCCTTCTCTCTCCTTTTTCTTTCCCTTCTCTTTCTCCCCATTCTTCCTTCTCTACCTACAACTCCCAGCAGTCTTCCTGATCTATCTCTCTCTCTCTCTCTCTCTCTCTGTCTATTTATCTATCTAACTACCTTATTTATCTGGAGGATTGCTGGGAGTTTCAGTCCAGGAATAGGAAATTGGAAATATGCCTGGATTGGGATGCTCGCCAAGAAATCCAAGGAGAAGAAAGCTTGCATCTTGGAAGCAGTGCATTTGGATCATCCTTCTCTCCTAAAGGGCCTGGCATAGGGGATGCTGGGAGCTGTAGTCCAGAAGAGAGTGTTTATATGCTATTGTGTGTTTTGTTTGCCACGGAAGTCATTTTTGTGCAGGCACTGAAGCATCTTTTTGCTTTTTTGGCTTTTTAAATCCCTTCCGCTGTGTTTTTCAGTGTTTTTATGAGTGATGGTCACTTGTTGGCCTGATAGGTGTCTTGTGTCCATTTGTTGAGTGGTTTTTGAGTTCTGTTAATCCCACAAACAAACATTACATTTTTAATTCTGTTTAAAATTTTGTATATTTCTGGATTTCAAATTGTGTGCTAATATTTTGTCAAAGGCTTTCATGGCTGGAATCATTGGGTTGTGCAGGTTTTTCAGACTGTATGGTCATGTTCCCGAAGCATTCTCTTCTGACGTTTTGTCTGCATCTATGACAGGCATCCTCAGAGGTTGTGAGGTCTGTTGGAAACTAGGAAAATGGGGTTTGAAACATCCAGGGTGGGAGAAAGAACTCTTGTCTGTTAGAGGCAAGTGTGAATGTTTCCATTGGCCACCTTGATTAGCATTTAATGGCCTGACAGTTTCAAGATGTTGCTTCTTACTGCCCGGGGTAATCCTTTGTTGAGATGTGATTAGCTTGTTTCTTGTCTGGAGTCCCCCAACAAACAAGAGTTTTATCTCCCACATTCCACAGCTATATAAATCCCACTTGCATAGTTTCCAACAGACCTCATAACCTCTTAGGATGCCTGCCATAGATGTGGGCAAAACGTCAGGACAGAATACTTCTAGAACATGGCCAGACAGCTCGGAAAACTTACAGCAACCTGTGTGCTAAAGCTTTTATGTTAAGCCAATTTGCATCTCCTTTGAGAGAGATAAAGCGGGGCAATAATAATAATAATAATAATAATAATAATAATAATAATAATAATAATGTTCAAATAAATAAAATTATTATTATTATTATTATTATTATTATTATTATTATTGACACAAAAGCACAGTATGTCACAGCATACGAAATCCAGCATATAGATCTCATTTGCTGTGGCATACTGTACTTTTGGGTCAATAATAATAATATTAATAATAATAATAATTTTATTTATTTAAAGCATTTCTCAGGGCGGAGCACAACATATATACGGCAAATATTCAAAGCCGGCACAAAGCAAACTAAAACATATATACTATAAACATGCATAATCGCTAAAATCAATTATCTTCACGTTAAAATCAATTGTTTAAAACTATCTCAAACCGGCCATATCAAATCCAGTTGGCAAGGTAGATTTCCTATTCTTGTCTTATTGTACTGTCCCAAAAGCTTGGTCCCACAGCCAAGTTTGAACCATATTTCTGAAGGGCAGGAGGGAAGGAGCTGATCTAATCTCAACTGGGAGGAAGTTCCATAGCCGAGGGGCAACTACTGAGAAGGCCCTGTCTCTCATCTCCACCAAACGCGCCCATGACTGTGGCAGGACTGAGAGCAGGGCCTTCTTGGAAGATCTTAAACTCTGTGGTGGTTCATAGTGGGAGATGCGTTTGGACAGCCTGATTGGGCCGGGGTCATATAGGGCTTTATAACCCAAAGCCAGAACTTTGAATTGTGCTCGGTAGCAAACCGGCAGCCAGTGGAGCTGAACATGGGAGTTGTGTGCTTCCTGTACGCCACCCCAGTTATTAACCTGGCTGCCTCTCATTGGAATATTTGAAGCTTCCGAACAGTCTTCAAAGGCAGCCCCCACGAAGAGCTCATTGCAGTAGTCTATCCTAGAAGTAACAAGAGCATGGACCACCATGGCCATGTCTGACTTCCCAAGGTACAGGCACAACTGGCACACAAGTTTTAGTTGTGCAAAAGCCCTTCTGGCCACTGCCGAAACCTGAGGTTCCAGCTCAGTAATGAGTCCAGGAGGACTCCCAAGCTGCGAACCTGCGCCTTCAGGGTGAGTGTAACCCCACTCTGTCACCCTATATCCTGTTCAGCCTTGCGACTGACCAGGAGGACCTCTGTCTTGTCTAGATTCAACTTCAATGTGTTCACCCTCATCCAGACCGTCACAAGGGCTAGGCACCAATTCAAAACCTGGACAGCCTCCTTAACATCTGGTGGAAAGGAGTAATAGAGTTGGATATCATCTGCGTACAGATGGCACCAAACTCCGGATGATCTCACCCAATGGCTTCATGTAGATATTAAACAAAATGGAGGACAACACTGAGACCTAATAGCCAAGCCCTTTATTTGTGTGCAGAAGGGCCCAGCTGTGTCCCTCTTTCAACTGCTTTTAAAGAGATAAAGCAGGGTATAAATAATAATAATGTATTTATTTTATTTATTTACAGCAGTTTTTCTGAACCTGGGGGGTTAGGACCCCTGAGGGGGTCACAAGGAGGTGTCAAAAGGGTCACCAAAGACTATCAGAAAGCACAGTGTTTTTTGTTGGTCATGGGGATTCTGTGTGGGAAGTTTGGCCCAATTCTATCGTTGGTGGGGTTCACAATGCTCTTTGATTGTAGGTGAACTATAAATCCCAGCAACTAGAACTCCCAAATGTCAAGATCTATTTTCCCCAAACTCCACCAGTGTTCACATTTGGGCATATTAAATATCCATGCCAAATTTGTTCCAGACCTATCATTGTTTGGGCCCACAGTACTCTCTGGATGCAGGTGAACAACTTTAAAACTCAAGATCAATGCCCTCCAAACCCTTCCAGTATTTTCTCTTGGTCATGGGAGTTCTGTGTGCCAAGATTGGTTCAATGCCATCATTAGTAGAGCTCAGAATACTCTTTGATTGTAGGTGAACTATAAAACCCAGCAGCAACAACTCCCAAATGACAAAATCAACTCCCCCAACCCCACCAATATTCAAATTTGGGCATATTGGGTATTTGTGCCAAATTTGTTCCAGTGAATGAAAATACATCCTGCATATCAGATATTTACATTACGATTCATAACAGTAGCAACGAAAATAATGTTATGGTTGGAGCTCACCACAACATGAGGAACGGTATTTAGGAAGGTTGAGAACCACTAAACCAGAAAATAATAAGGTTTGATATGTCTCCTCAAGAACAAAAGAGTTGGTGACTGGATCTGCCTAGAGATGACATTCGTGTGCAATTGAATCATATCCTGCTTTGGAGACTATCTCAATGTTCTCCATGTGGAGAGGATTCCCAAAGATCCTTACTGCAACCTTGCAAAGCAAAGTAGCAAGCCAAGGGAGAAGGACCACAACAGTTTGGGGCAACTTGGATCCATAACACCAAGATGTATCCCCATGGATGTCCCCCAGCTTCCACAATTGACCCCATGTGCCCCAGGTCCAAAATCAGGCATGGCAAAAAACGTTTTTGCTCCATCTATCCATCCATCTTCTTGACTTGGCTCATGCACCTGGTCTGCAAAAGGGATTACAGGTGAACTGGACCCTCGGATTCATAACAGCAACATGTATCCCCATGGATGTCCCACAGCTTCCACAGTTGACCTCATGTGCCCCAAATCCAAAACCAGGCATGAGGACAACGTTCTTGCCCCATCCATCCATCTTCTTGACCTGGCTCATGTACTAGGTCTGGAAGAAGGAATTGCAGGTGAGCTGGTCCCCCGGATCCATTACACCAACATGTATCCCCATGGATGTCCCACAGCTTTCACAGTTGATCTCTCATGCCCCAGATTCGAAACCAGGCATGGGGAAAACGTTCTTGCTCCATCAGTCCATCCATCCACCCATCTTCTTGACCTGGCTCATGTGCCAGGTCTGGAAGAAGAGATTGCAGGTGAGCTGGACCCCCGGATCCATAACACCAATATGTATCCCCATGGATGTCCTACAGCTTCCACAGTTGACCACATGTGCCCCAGGTCTGAAATGAGGCATGGGGAAAACATTCTTGCTCCATCCGTGCATCCACCTTCTCGACCTTGCTCATGCACCAAGTTTGGAAGAAGGGATTGCAGGTGAGCCTGACCCTCAGATCCATAATACCAAGATGTATCCCCATGGATGTCCCACAGTTTCCACAGTTGACCTCACGTGCCCCAGATATGAAACCAGGCATGGAGAAAACATTCTCACTCCATCCATCCATCCATTTTCTTGACCTGGCTCATGCGCCAGGTCTGGAAGAAGAGATTGCACGTGAGCTGGACCCTCAGATCCATAACACCAACATGTATGCTCATGGATGTCCCACAACTTCCATGTGCCCCAGATCTGAAACCAAGCATGGGGGAAATGTTCTTGCTGCATTCGTCCGTCCGTCCGTTCATTCATCCATTCATCCATCCACCTTCTTGACCTGGCTCATCAACCTCAATACGGCTAGCTTACCTTCTGTGATCCAGAGGCTGATCCCTTCAATGATGTGCGTTTGAAGGAGCCGCTCATCCTCCGGAGGGAGCCCCCAATCTTCCCCCCTCGGCCCTTCTTGCCCTCCATGTTCAAGCTAGCCCCTGGCCACCAAACCGGGATGGAACCCCACGAGACGCATGTCCACAACTAGGATCTTGACCAAGCCCCAGGACATGGCGGTGGTGGCGGTCCGAAGGGCTCCGTTGTTCGAAAGCAGTCTGACCCAGGCGAGGCAAGGAAGAAGCAAATGGGCCGATCTTAACCCCCTTCCAAGCACTCTCCCTCCCCAGCCTCTCTATAATCAGGCTTAATGCACCCAGCTCCTGCAAGCGACGGCTCCTAATGGACGGGAGATTTAATAAATGGTGATTGAAGGTAAATCTACTTTAGGAAGCAGCAGGCCCAAAAAGGGTTTTTCTTTTTTATTCACATAAATCATGGAGTGCTCAGAATCGCTTGCCAAGGGGGGGAAAGAGCAGCTGGCTTGCAGAGGACTAGAAGCATGCTGGGTTGCTGGGGAAAGAGTCCAGGAAAGGGGTTTAGAGGCAGAGAGGAGCGCGAGGAATGAGCAACAGGTAGGCCAGGGATAAAGTAAGGACATGAACCCATCACGAATTCTGCCCCCAAAAAGGAAATCTGCCTTCCGTCTCTTAAAATTGCTACCGGGTTTTATTTATTTTGTGTCAGAAGCATTGCAGAAATGTTGAATCAGCTTCACATCAAGAGCGGTGGATGTTTCTTGTATCTTGAGGGTGTCCTAGATGGAGTTGTAGAAAACTTTATTATGCTAAGAGAAAAAAAGGTATAGGTTTCCCCTGACATTAAGCCTAGTCGTATCCAACTCTGAGGGGTGGTGCTCATCTCCATTTCTAAGTCAAAGAGCCGGTGTTGTCCATAGACACCTCCAAGGTCATGTGGCCACTGGCATGACTGTGTGGAGTGCTGTTACCTTCCCGCCGGAGCGGTACCTATTGATCTACTCACATTTGCATGTTTTCAAACTGCTGGATTGGCAGAAGCTGGGGCTAACATCAGGAGCTCATCCCACTACCTAGACTTTTGGTTAGCAAGTTCATCAGCTCAGCAGCTAACAGCGGGAGCTTACGCTGCTCCGAGGATTCAAACCTGTGACCTTTTGGCAACAAGCTCAGCAACTCAGTGGATAAAACAGAGGGAGAACAAGTGGCTAAATAATTTTTGACCAAAACTGGGCAATGACAATTATTATTATTATTTTTATTATTAACTTTATTTGTACCCCGCTAGCATCTCCCGAAGGACTCGATGCGGCTTACACAGGCTGAAGCCTCAGAAATACAGTACAGCAAAACATAACACAACAGTAAAACAAAAGCAAATCAAAATAGTTAAGCAGTATAACAACAGCAGTAACAATACATCAGGACGCTTTAAAACTGGGCCGGCCAGAGCAGTGGGTACAGTGTTAAAAGTGCTGAGATGGCAGGAGGAACGTAGGATTAAATAAGTGCAGTGTGCAACCACCCTGTCTGTAGCTTTAAACAATTCTTCCTCTGTGCATGAGGCAGGGCATTGTGGACAGGCATACAGATGCAAAGTTGTTTGTTCTGCTCCACAGTTGCACAAGGTAGAGGATTTTTCTAGGTCAGTCTTTCTCAACCTTCCCAATGCTGCGACCCCCATAATACAATTCCTCATGCTGTGGTGACCCACAACCATAACATTATTTTTGTTGCTACTTCATAACTGTCATTTTGCTACTTTTATGAAGAATAATGTAAATATCTGATATGCAGGATGTGTTTTCATTCACTGGATCAAATTTGGCACAAATACCAATATGCCCAAATCTGAATACTACTGGGGCTGGGAGGGATTGATTTTGTCATTTGGGAGGTGGAGTTGCTGGGATTTATAGTTCATCTACTGTCAAACCACATTCTGAAGTCCACCAACATTGGAATTGAACCAAACTTGGCACACAGAACTCCAATGACCAACAGAAAATACTGGAAGGGTTGGGTGGGCATTGATCTTGAGTTTTGGAGTTGTAGTTCAACCACATCCAGACAGAACTGTGGACTCAAACAATGATGGATCTGGACCAAACTTGGCACAAAAATTCAATATGCCCAAATGTGAACACTGGTGGAGTTTGGGGGAAATAGACATTGGCATTTGGGAGTTGTAGTTGCTGGGATTTATAGTTCATCTACAATCAAAGAGACAGGAAAGCTTAGAGAAGACAATGATGCTGGGGAAAATGGAAGGAAGAGGGGCCAACCAAGGGCAACATGGATGGATGGGATCCTTGAAGTGACTGGCTTGACCTTGAAGGAGCTGGGGGTGGTGACGTCCAACATGGAACTCTGGTGTGGACTGGTCCATGAGGTTACAAATGATAGAATTGGGCCAAACTTTCCACACAGAGCCCTCATGCCTTGAAGGGACTCACCTGAACATACACACCACGCTGCCACGTGGCTTGATGTCTCAGAAACAGCCCCCACCTTGAAGAAGACTTCCGGTGCACGAGCATGGCGGAGAGTCAGGCACTTTAGAGCTCTGCTGCTGTGCCAACCCCAGCCAAGCGACTGGGTAGAGTGATAGCTCCCTTCCCACCCATGGATTGAAGAGGGGAGAACAGCGAAACCGGGGGCTCCACCGACGACCTAGAAGGAGGCTCTCCCCTCAAGAGGGGGTTGCCAAATAGGTCCGGTAAGGAGCCCATGGTACGGCGAGTCGCGGCAGGGCGCTCAGGCTACTCGTTCCTGAACCATCTCCAACCACGCGCATTTTAAAGAAACAGAAGACAGAAGAAAAGAAAGAGTAAGTGTAAAAGGTGTTGGAAGAAGAGGGGAGAGACCTCCCCCCCACTTAATTGCTGGGGAGGAGGACCAGAGAACATAATATATGGCCACGAGGGAGAGGAAAGGAGAAAGGAGAAAAGAAGGAGAAAAAAATATTCTAAGTAAATGCCAATCAATCATTAAGAGGAATGGTGAAACTATGAAGAAACTATGAAGCAGTAAAGACAAACATAAGGGAATACAAAAGATTGCAAAAGAGCAGGAAGACTTTTAATATCATAGCCGCCATAAACACCACAGCCCCAAACAACCTAAATAACCGTGGCATATTATTGGCTACCAATTGGAAGTAAATATTAGCTCCGGAAGTTTATTAAAAATTAAATATTGGCACCATCGCCAATATTAAATATTAAACATTGGCTCAAACACCCGGAACAATTAAATAAATAAATACAGGCTCCCCGAACATTGGCGAAAACCGACCTTGTGTCTGGAGACAGAGAGAGGGCGGTCGTCAGTTGCATGGAGGGAGGAGAGGCCCTGGCCTCCAGGAGAGAGAGAGGCGCCAGAAGTGAGGAGAAAGAAACACGAAACAACGCGAGACTGAGAGAGAGAATGGGCAAAGAAAGAAGGAAATGAGAGGTAACGGAGAAGGGCAAAAGCGCGCCAGTAGGGGGGATATAGTGAGGCAATAAGGTGGAAGGGCGATAGAGACGCAAAGAGGGTAGATGCAAACAGGAGGGGGAAGAGAAGTGCCGAAGAGTCAGACGGAGAGCCATAAAGGGGAAGGGAAGTTACGACGGAGGGAAAGCTAGAGCAAGGAAAGCCACGGAAATCTAAGAAGGAGGTGGCAAGAGGCGGTGAGAAGCTTCAAAAGCGGGAGTGGAGTGCAGGAAAAGAGAGAGACAACGAAACAAAGAGAAACGAGAGTTCCAAGGAGAAGGAAAGGACACAGGCCAAGAAGGAAAAGTGAGTAGATAAAAAGGAGAAATAAAGGACACATTACTTCAAGGAAGTGCCCCACCTGTTTTCAGAGGAGAGGCATCAGGGGGCAAGTGAAATAAAGGGCATATCAAAAGGGAAAAAAGTTAAATAAAAATAGAAATAAAAATAAACTATAAAAAGTAAGATAGGGGAAAAATATTAAGAATTAAACAAAAAGAACGGAATTAAAACTCAAAAGCTGAAGAATAAAGGTAAAAATATATTGAAAAATTAGATGTGGTCAGACCTTAAAAACTTGAATTTGTTTCAGAAAAGACAACTTATGCAGAAAGAAGAGATGTCCTCAAATAAGGATAAGAATGTTAAAGAAATTAAAGAAACAAAGGAAACTAAAGAAATAACGAAAGAAGTAAATAAAGAAGGAAATAAAGATGCAAATAAAGAGATAACCCAAACAGGAAGAAGACTATCAATAGGTGAAGATGGAAGATTAAAGGAACTACTGAAAGAAATAAAAAATATAGGAAAAGAATTGAAATCAATGAATGAAAAACAGGACGCATATCAAAAAGTGTCACGAGAACAGATGGCAGACCTAAGGGAAGAGAAAAGAAATAAAAGGGATGAAAAAAGATGCTGAAGTAATGAAAGAAGACATAGAAAGTCTGAAGAAAGAAAAACGAAAACAAGAAAAGAGTCAGGACAGGACACAGGAAAGAATGAAGAACTTGGAGACATTAAATCAAAAAATCCTACAGAGACAAGAAAACCTAGAAATACGGAATACCAACTAAGACTGAGGAATGTCCATGAAGAAAAGGAAGAAAATATAAGGGAGAAGGTGATAGATATCTTTGCAGAACTATTACAGGGAACAACACAATATATAGAGGAACAAATTGACAGGACTTACAGAATCAACACTAACTATGCAAGAAAACACAAGACGGACAGAGACATTATAATACAATTCACAAGGAAAGGGATGAGAGATGAGATCCTCAGAATAGGCAGCAGGAAATCGGCATTTTACAAGGAGAAAAGAATTGTGATTTTGAAGGAATACCTGACCTCCACCATCAACAACAGAAGAAAATACACATTCTTGACAGACGAATTAAAAAGACAGAATATGAGATTCCGTTGGGAGAAAGAAGAAGGATTAATGATGACATACAAAGGCCAAAGATATTGGATAAAATCGGTGGAAAGAGCCAGACAGTTCTACGAAGGAATTAAGTCAGAAGAAGAGGCAGATTATGATACCAAGAGAAAATAGAGCAAAAGACAAAGAATTATATCTCCTAGAAAGGAAGAATTGGATTTAAGTAAGTACAACATGAATCAGAAAGCACTGAAAATGGCAACAGAGAAAAGGACAGAAAATCAAGAAGAGATGGTAACAAACGAAGAGGAGGAAGAGGGGGAGGAAGAGGAAACACAGGAAGGACAAGAAGAAGAAGAGAAACAAGAAGAAGATCCAAGAAACATTTACTAAATGATGACCAATTTAAGAATATTTTGTAACAATATTAACGGATTTAACTCCCCCAATAAAAGGAATATTTTTTTAA